CGTGCGGACGAGGGACGAGGAGCCGGGCGAGAGGGCGAAGGCAAGGGCTAGCCGGGCGCCGAGAGCGTACGCGGCTCCACAACACGCTTCCTCGTGCGCTCAAAACGAGTTACAGAAGTTTTGTATGTGGCGCGCATCAGCTGTTTGAGGGCGACGCCGAATGCCTGTGCTCCGTGCGTTGCACCCGCTGGCAAACGCAAACACCTGCTCTCTCTCACTCCGCCTTGTGCTTTGTGCCGGCTGCGCATACGCATTTGCGCGCCGCGCCGTACAAAACCTCCCCAACAAGCCGCGTCCGATCTCGAGCAGTCGCGGCGCGTGCGTGGCCCGCTCGGCTTCGCTCGCCCACTGCCCTCGTCCGCCGCGCCGCCCGAGCGCTCTTCTTCGCTGATAAACTTCGATCAGCGCGCGCCAAAATAACGCGCGTCCCCTCCCTGCCGGCGCTTCTTTGTCGCGGCGTTCGCCCGCCCGCCCGCTCGCCCGCCCGCGCGCTTCGCTGCGTCGCGCCCTCGCGCCCGCGCTCGCCCGCGCCCGCCTTGCGAGTCGAAACGCGCTAAATATACCGCTCCGTTTTGTAAAACATGAGGCCGATGACAAAGCTCTCGACTCGCCCGGTCGCCCCGCCGCCCACACGTCGTCGGCCTCAAGCCCCCGCAGTCGTGCCCTCCGCCGCGCCGTCGTGGGTTCTATCCCTGGACGTTCTCAAAACAAATTCGGATATAGATTCACGCAGCGCGAATGGAAATGAATGATACAACAAGCAAGTTCTGATTATACAGATAGTTGCCAGTGTTTGCCATAGTTATATCTTTACTTCTGTGATTTTTTTTTCTATCGCTATTTGACAAATTATATCGTCAACAAATGCGGTTCAGCCGCAATTTAATGTTGTCCAAATCGAAGCGACGGCGATTTTACCAGAAAGTTTTCCTCAGAAATTTTGCAGGAGCTCATCCGCCTCACGTCATTGCTGTCTTACGCTATTACCGAGTTCCTAAGTTTCCATTTCATGAAAAGATTGAACCACGCAATTCAGTTAATAAGACATATGGCATTGAACCGAAAATTTGAACCCCTTGAAATAAATGTTGCTTAATTTGCTTAAGTGAAGTGATTTCAGTAATAATGATGGGATGGCAAAGATTAAAATCTATATAACTGTCTTCAAACGTCTCCCTTGCCTTAAGTAATTGGAAAATAACCCACGACAAAAAGACTAGTTAAACATCTCTTTCATTTAGCTGGAAAATTCGCCACTCATCGTAGCTACC